CGATGATGTTAGTAGCGGCTGTTTTCAAATGTGGTTTAGCCAGGCTGAATCCCCGTTTTAAAAGAGGAAGGGCCATCCTGAGCAGCCCCCGAAATATACCCCACAAACCATTGGCATATTGTGTCTGAGATCCTATAAATCCCGGTAGTTCTCCGCCGGCTTGGTTCATATAATATGCCATATATCGGCCGTCATCGTGTGTGTAGTGGCTATTCCTCATCTTCCAATAGTTTTATTTTTATTTTTTTCAGAAACGCTGTTTTATAGGTCTGAAATGTAGCTTCCCTTGACCTTTCCGTATAAAAAGGTTATGTATCCATTCTGATCGTTTTTTATGGATATCTCAAGATCATCAATAACGTTTTTGGAGAGAGATGTGTATTGCGGCCTGTCGTAAGTCAGAGTGGGTATGCGCCGTTGTTCGTCCGCCACATTTATACATCTTAGAAGCGGTACATGGCTGTCCCCCACTAATTGATAGTCAACAATATCGCTATATATGTAAAATGTGTAACAACCTGCATGTATATCGGCGGGATAGGGGGTGGTATAGGATCTGTCAGTAGTCGGTAGGGGAAAAGCCTCCCCATCTTTAAAACCCAATATTGTCGCGAGCCGTCCTACAAAGGTTATAGTTGAATCCTCTGTTGACCCCAGAAAGTATACGCGGTTTTTAACACTACTATAATGCATAGATACCCCCTCCAGCTGCGTGTTAATGCTGATTCGAGCATTAAACGCTTTAACAATAGCCTGTATAGACTCATACACCCCAATGTCCATAGTAAAGGCTGATTTAACCCTGTTTTTACCATTGTACACTTTTACAACCGCATCTGTTTTCGGAAAACTGTACCACACTCTCGGATACTGGAATTCTACCAACCCCACCTCATGTGGTTCGCTCAGAACAATGGCCTTGGCTAATTTTGTCCTGTAGTTCCATATCTGATTTTTAGGATAAACCTGAGCCGACGCGTTACTAGGTAGTGTAACATAAAAACCATTCTGGGTCATCGTGCCGTGTCCTATGGTGGACGGTTTAAGAGTGAACTCTCAAGATGCAGGCATGTGTCTTTTATCAAGCATTCGTGATGTCTTTTTCTGAGACCCAGGCGTTAAACTTCTCGGGACACCCCAACCATTTCACGAAGACCTGCTTCTTGCCTCTGGAGATTTTTCTATCCATAATTTTTTCTATTTTAAACACCTTGTTTTTACCTATAATTACTTTTTGTAACTCCGGTTCGTAAAACGTTCCTTTCAACAATTCCCCTGCACAATCAGTTAGTTTATAAACCGGAGGATCTCTGGCTATACACCTTGATATTGTAAAATGCTCATCGGTGAATGTTTGTTTATAACCCTTCCTAAACCCACCGCGGAGTTTTGATATTCTCACGGTGTCGCCCTTGTTAAATTTAAAGCATACTGTCTTCTGAGGGTACAACTTGTACAGTTGTATGAAGACCGTCTTCTCATTGTCTTTATTGACCGTTGATGGCTGCATCTTTATGGACCTGTGGTGTGAGTTATTATAGGCCTCGACAAGCTCCTGTACTACATCCACATGTCTTCAAGAATTAACGGATGTTAAATATCTCCACATGTGGGTTTTAAAAGTCCTGTTAAAGCGCTCCACCACACTGGCCTTGGTCTCATTCGTCTTTGCAAGTTCTTGTATTTTTGAACACCATCCCAGTAAACATCATATTCCTTGTGGAGGGGCCCTTGTGCTGCATGTTTGACATTCTTGTACTGCTTAAATAAAGTGTCATATGAATTTGAGATAAAGAGACATGGTTGTCCCCTACATGCTGCCAGACACAACTTCATGGTGCGCACATTTCTGGAGAAACTTAAGTCTGGGTACAGACCCTCCCCCGATGCCCTCGCAAAACAATCAGACTGCAATAAACACAAAAACATCACCAACCCCTTTCTCTGACTCCACCTCCCTCCCCAATCACTTCGTACCGTCCATTTATCCCACATCAAAAATAACATCCACATGTTGTACATCATGACTTGATTTTCCACGCCGATATATATGCTCTTCTTTCTCTCGCCACCTGTTTTTCCCATCAGCTGTACTGGTTCACTGTCGAGTATGGCTTATGCAAACAGAACGGTGAGGTGAGGGCTTACGGAGCTGGACTGCTCTCCTCTTACGGAGAGCTTGTGGTGGGTTTTCCCCGTGTTTTCTCTGAATAAAAACTAATAAATGCAACAATCACAGTCAACTGAGCTGTACGCTAATCCTTCGTGTTTTCCCCTCAAACTTTTACTTCCAGCACTCACTGTCTGACGAGCCAGAGACCAGGCAGTTCGAACCGGAGGCTGCAGCCGTGCAGCCTTATCAAGACCAGACGTACCAGCCGGTCTACTTTGTTTCTGAGAGTTTTGTAGATGCAAAAGAGAAATTCAGGTACCAAACAAATACCCCCCCGTTTTCTTCTTTGCACCCGCATGCGAATAGAGAAGAACAAAAAGGAGAATGAAAAAAATGAACGGAAAAAAAAGAGGAGAGGGGGGTTTGGTGAGGACAAGGTCAGAGAACAGCCAGTCAACCCCTGAGGGCACTAGGATTTGTAGGTCAGCCATGGCAGCCAAAAGACAGCTGTTACTAATGTAGTCGATCTACCAAGGCCAAGCCCTGGAATTTCTGTTGGCAAACAGATCAAATGTTTCCCTGAAAAACAAGTAGCCTAAGTGAGCGTTTTGGTTTCTTCTAGAGCCAAGCAGAGGTCATCCCTCCCAAGCTAAATGAGAAAATGTCAGCGTGGGAATGATTGTAAAAGCGTGGTGAAGAAGAAACAGAGCATGTGATACACACATGTGTGGTGTTGGTCTTAATTTGGTGCCTCTACAAGCAAACACCAGTCCTACACTTTGTTACAGTTAAACACTTTGACTTGTTTAGGTCCTGCTTTTTTTGTTTGAAATCTTTCACCAGCGTCCCTTCTCCGTGAAGTTTGATCCATACACCAGCAGAGTGGAGGTGCTGGACAACCCGCTGAAGATCCAAGGAGGTCTGGAGGGCCTGAAGGACGAGCTAAAGATACTGACGGATGCCCTCAGCGTTTTGTCATGATGGTGCCCCGGCCTGCGACCGGCCTGCGACCGGCCTGCGACCGGCCTGCGACCGGCCTGCGACCGGCCTGCGACCGGCCTGCTGTGTTGTCTGCTTCCTCTCTGCTGCGCTCTGAGACGTCCAACATGTGATCAAGACCAATGTGTTAATCTTCCTGTGCCGTACCTCCAGTATGATGCTGTTTCTGATTTGTTGTTGTTCTGAGTTGTTGTTCGCTGTGACCGACAAGGTTGCAACCATTACAACCTCACTACGCAGTGCAGGCAAAGTTTCCAAAGATGTTAAAAGCTCCGCTGCTTGAAATGGGTTTTGGGTTTTAAAGACTGGGCCATTCCTGCGTTTAAAAAACCCCCATGTGATACAATGAATGTATTTAAAGAAAAACAATTAAAAAAAATAAAGAAACATTATGGTAGAATTAAGACTGAAATGTACATTTAAATTATATTTATTTTATTTAGAAAGGACCACATCTGCTGCGTTGAAAGCTTTATTTTCTGTATTTGAGTATTGATCTACTTCTAAATTGGTCGATTTGTCTGGTTTCATGCTGTATTTGTCTTGAAGGTTATCAGGAATCAGGAATCAGGAATCAGAAAACATTTATTAGCCAAAATATGTCAAACATACAAGGAATTTGTCTTGGCGGTTAGTGCGCGACAGTAGACAGACAAGACAACAGTGCACAAGTAATAAAATAAAGTGGAATGAAATGCTAATGCAATGGGTTAGTAGAATAAGGCTATGGGTTAGTATAAAACAAGGGAATAAAGTTAAAAAAATTTAAATATTAAAAAGTTAAAAAGAAAAATATGAAGCATAAAGTGCACTAACAAACAAGTAACAGACAAGAGACAAAGTGACAAGATGCATAATAAAATAAACATCAAAACATACATCAAATAAACATCAAAACATACTCTTCCTTTGATGTATAATGGATTATTGATAAAGTAAACACAACCCATCAAACAAACTCTCACGTTGCTGTCACGTTGAGATGTTTAACACACGAAGTGCGCTTGGCTGCATAATAGCTGATGTTAATCTGCCACAAGAGGGCGCAGTCCGGTCGGGTGTACCTGCCTGCAGAGATGCCCTCCGACCTCGGCAACGTTGCAAGACAAACAAACAGTTGTTCCCTACGTGGACCACTAGGTGTCGGTCTGAAGACATGTCTGGAGTCTCACCTTTTGCTCAAGCTATACTTATATAAGGGAACCCTCCAACTGTTTTAAAAAGAAGAGGAAGAAAAAAACAGAAAGTGCATTGCTCGGGGTGGGCTATGCAGCCACTTGTTATGGAGCATCTGTGCAACATCTGGATGGAGGTTTCTCTGCTGGACATTTAAACCCACAGGAGGGACATTGATTGTTTTTTTCTGTTTGATAACCATCATACATGTCTTCTGCAATTCTGCGCCATTCAAGTGGGAGTCGTTGCAGCCTCCTCCCGCCTTCGCGTGGGACACACTGACTATATCTCAACCTTCACTAAAACACCAGTCGACCCTGGTGACTAAAGGCTACATTTACACCTGAGCGAGAGGAAAACCGCAGACCCCTGGCCACAGTGCTTCAACTCTAAATGTCAATCTCAATTACAGCTGGGCGGAGGCATTCAAATGCCCCTTGGAGTCTGAGGAATTACCTTCTATTCTTGTTCAGTCTGCGTCCTCTGCGTAAACATTGTGATTGTAGGTTTCGGTGCGTAAACGTGGAATAAATGCCTATGGAATTGTTTCACATTCACAGAACTCTCACTCTTTCTTTTTTTTCCTTTTCTCCCCTAAGCACTTTTCCATAAAACGCCTCTGGACCATTTTTTTTTCACCAGCGGTGAGGAGGAGGAGCGAGGGTGCTGGGGTGGGTGCAAGGGGCGTGTTTGGGTATAAAGCGCTTCTCCCTGAGAAGTTGTGCCTGTCGCCTGGTCTTTGGGGCAGCCTCTCACACATCATCTCTTTTGCCGCAGCAACTGGGAAACTAACTCACCTGCAACCTCTCCAAAAACCAAAATAACCACAACGTTTTGCTAACTGAAATGGACACACAGAAGAGACCGGGACACCACTCGCGCTGCCACACCTGCAGACGAACAGATATGAGCCGAATGAAGGTAAACCAAAAAAAAAAAAAAGGGAAACACATAGTTTGATGCTGTCCGCTTGTGTCGCGCCGGTGTTTGAAAGACAACAAGCAAGTGTTATAACGGCGCTTTCTCGGATTTATTAAGAAAACCGCCTCGGGCTTCCCAGATGCATTGAGCGCATCTTTTTTTTGTTTGTTTCTGTGCAAAAAATGTGAGCAATCGGACATCTTTTAATTTGCATGCAACAAAGTAAGTTCGGGATGCAAGGTCGACATGGACGCTGGCTGAAGCGTTGAAGCATTCGTGCAACAGGCTGTCCGCTAAGAATGAAGAAAACGCGAGTGTAGATCGTATTCCGTATCTCGTCTGGATGAGACGCAGCAAACAGCTGGTCTTTCTGTCGGCAGATAGGGGTCGGTGAGCCTGAGGGGTCAGTGAGCTCACCAAAGGGTGAGCAAGGGGAAAACATATGCTGAGTCTGGCTTTTCGGATAGTTAAGTATCGAACAACCGGTCTCGCAACTTCGGGGGAGTTGTGTAAGAGTGCGAAAGACAGAGATACCGTCTACCCCCCCCCAGAATAAGCAGTTATCTCAAGGTATAACACAGTGACAGAAAACAGTTCCAGGAAAGAGGGGAATTTCACATTTCGAATAATTTGTCTCACGCAACGGGGTTTTCTGAGTTTGCAATTCAATACATATATGTACATATACAACGTAATACCTGAAGTCGTACATCTTACGCACGCTTCCAAATGCGAGCGCGTGAATGGTTTATCCTCTTATATCACATAGAAACGCAACATCTGGCTCTCAGCTGAGATTATTTCGTTGTTGAATGCCACCTCCGAAATGTGCAGTCGCATTTGTTGAACCGCTGCTTTATTCTGAAATGTGTGTGTGTGTGTGTGTGTGTGTGTGTGTGTGTGTGTGTGTGTGTGTGTGTGTGTGTGTGTGTGTGGGGGGGGTGTTTTCCCACCCTCTGCAGATGAAGAAGATGTCCTCGTCCAGTCGCGCGCTGCTCTTGGCACTGGCCCTCGCACTCGTGGAAATGGCCTCGGCAGAGACGCTGTGTGGGGGAGAGCTGGTGGATGCGCTGCAGTTTGTCTGTGAAGACAGGGGCTTCTATTTCAGTAGGTTTCAAACACCAAAAAAATACACACACACACACGCACGCACGCACGCACACACACACACACACACACACACACACACACACACACACACACACACACACACACACACACACACACACACACACACACACACGTTTTAACACAACGAGCTGCTTCGCTCTGTATGCCCCCCCGCCCTCCCCCCTCTGTTGTTCACTCGCGCACATCTGTTTGGATAGCTGAGGCGATATCCCTCCGTCTGTGGCTGCGTGGTGCGCGTTTGGTGTCTTTACCTTCTCACGCACTCACAGCGCGCGCGCAAATACCCTCAGGCTGAGAGCCAGATAGCGCTTGTGTGTGTGTGTGTGTGTGTGTGTGTGTGTGTGTGTGTGTGTGTGTGTGTATGTGTGTGTGTGTGCGTGTGGGAGGGTTGTGGCCAGCTGAGAGTCTGAAGACCTCGTCCGGGACAGCGCCCACCTCTCATTGCATATGAAAGCAATGTGAAAAACGCACGACACGGCGCGACACAATGGGCTGCTTGTTTACCAGTCAAGTAAAAGTACCCCGAGGGGCATTCCAGTCACCTCAGCACCAATGACTTTTTGTGGGGTTTGATTTGGTTAAGGAATGCAGTGGTGATGGGGATAGACGAAAAGCATTATGGTTAGTTAATCCTCAAGTGGATAAGCTTCTGATTGCACAGTGTCTGTGACATATAAGGGTTCACCTTCCTCTAGGATTTCTCCGGCAGCGAACCCCCCCCCCCCCCCCCCCCCCCATAGTGATATCGTCCCACCCCCCCTGCGTTTCACGTTTGACAGACATGCAGCTTATTTGCGTGCAGTTTGCCACAGAAGCTTCATTAGGAACGATCCTTATCCAGTGAATGCGAACCTATAGATGTGCTCCTTCGTCCCCGTCCCCCCCCATCGCCCTCTGTCTCTCTCATGTTCCTCTTTCTGCAATCCAAAGTCTTCCTCGTGAGATTTGGGCACAGGGCTTAAAACCAGGCTTTTATTGGCTGCGAATAGTCTTCCCCTGTGCAACATGCTAACTCCCCTGACTGTATTCCTCCATACCTTTTTCTCCCACGTCTCCACTCAACCCCTCTTTTGTTTTTCATTCTTTCCCACTGTTTTGACCCTCGCACACCCTCTCTCTCTCTTTTCCTGACTGATCTCCTTTCCGTTATTTTCTCTACTCGGGCCCCTCCTCATCCTCTTTATCTATGCTGACTTGACACAGGACAAGGTCACAGAAGAGTTTCCATTTTACGTGTTTGCTCAGCCAAAGATCAGTCTGAGAGCTTAGTTGTCTGTCTCCATCACTCTCTTTTGATGTCTACAACAGTGTCCTTGTGTATTCACTCATTTAAGGGCAGCGCTAATCAGATCATCCCCCACAAACAAGTGTGTTGCAGTTGATCATAGAGGGGTTTTTTTTATCCCCTTTTCTCTATGGAATGCTATAATTGTCCAAGTAATCCAGCTAAAACAACCCACATTCGTTATTGATGTCAGTGTTCTCAGGTCTGAACATCACCCTCATCACAGCCTTTCCTTATCGCTTGTTGTGTCTTTTCTCAGGTAGGCCAACCAGCAGGGGTAACAACCGGCGCAACCAGAACCGTGGGATCGTAGAGGAGTGTTGTTTCCGTAGCTGTGACCTCAACCTGCTGGAGCAGTACTGTGCCAAACCCGCCAAGTCCGAAAGGGACGTGTCGGCCACCTCTCTGCAGGTCATACCCATGATGCCCGCACTAAAACAGGTACGTTTAGACAAAAACAACGGGCCGGTATGGAAACATTTCCAATCCTGGTCTCGGATCTTTTCTCTATTCACCTCTGAGCCTCACCCCTATGTCCATAAGAGACAGGGACACAGAAACAGGTTTATCTTGTTAAAATGGTCATAGGTAGGCAGTTAGCCTCCGTGTGAAGTGCTGAGCATCGCGGAAAGCATCAAGACAGTCACGGCACATCGTGTTTACCGAGTCGTGTTCACAGACTTGTGTACGTCAGAGAGTGCGTGTTTGTGTTAGAGAGAGAGAATTGTGAGATGTTAAGATACATCTGTTTCTTTGTGTTTGATTATTAGTCACGGAATAGCAAGCGGGCATGCGTTTTGATCTGGTAAGAAATGCCTGACCTGGCCGGCAGAACCTCTCTTAAATGTGTCTCAGACGTGCAGGGAATCATCAAAGCGTTTCAGCTCCTTTCACTGCAATCGCGGGACTAAACGGTGGCTCCTTTCCAGATCTCTTCGAAAACCCCATTGGGTTATGCTGGATAGACTTTTATCATTCCTCTGCATCGGCTTGCATGAGTATCCGTGCCATGTGATGTTGGGGGATAAACAAACAGAACACAATAAATACTGCAAATAGCCAGAGGAAAGACATGTACCAAGCTTCTAAAATGCGGGGAAAAAGGAGGTTTGCAAGAGGGAATTAGTTGGGACATGTCCTTCGTTTGTGTAGGAAGGCAGAGTTGATGGGTACAGCCTGCTCTGAGGGCCAGCTGTTCTTTGGCTATTGAACAGGCCTGCAGTGAATGAAGGGGGATAAACACTTCTCAAGTGGCAGGACCAAAACAAGCCATTCAGATGGAGCGCTGACTACTCACGCATAAATTCTAGCCTCCCTGCCACCACTCCCACTTTGTCTCAATCTGCGGTGCTCAGCACAACACTTAACCCTAGGTAGAAAAGAGTTTGCCGCAAAAGAATAGGGGTTTTGATACGACAATGTGTTTATTTCATTCGGCCTGTGGAGGTTAGGCGGTTCAGCGGTTGTCGGATGAACGACGTGCTCCTCATATGTATATGAGGCGAGCGGCCGCCCTTCCCTTTGACGTTATGTTAAAGAGGCTGAACCAAGAGCTCGTTGACTGCTTCTTTCAGCCGAGGAAGCCAAAACAAGGGCAAGTTGGAGGCAATGCGAGTCTGTTATGACGTCCCGCGCTATAAGAAGGCTATTTGACTTCCATTGAACCGGCCAAACAATGACCGAATGTATAAAAAAAACAAAAAAAACAAGGCTTTCCTCCATTGTAATGAGCACTTTCACTGTATGTTATCACAACTAATGAACTGACCCTCTCTTTTCCCCCCCTTTTCCTCTATTCTCTGCCGGCACGCCACAATAGGAAGTCCCAAGGAAGCAGCATGTGACCGTGAAGTATTCCAAATACGAGGTGTGGCAAAGGAAGGCGGCCCAGCGGCTCCGGAGGGGTGTCCCCGCCATCCTGAGGGCCAGAAGGTTTCGGAGGCAGGAAGAGAAGATCAAAGCCCAGGAGCAGGCGGTCTTCCACAGGCCCCTCATCAGCCTGCCCAGCAAACTGCCTCCCGTCTTGCTCGCCACGGACGACTCTCTCAACCACAAATGAGCCCAATGCCAGCCCTTTGCACAGACAAGAGGGAGAGGAAAAAAAAGACTAGGGGATTATAGCTTTGTCTCTGGCGTCATTTCTGTGGCAGTCCTCTTTGACCTCCCCTGCCCTGTCCGAGCCCACCGATCCCCCTCCCCCGCCCCCCCCTACGCTCATCCACTACTTCTTGACCCCGTGGCCCTTCTCTAATGCCCCCACCACCCCCCACTCCCTACCCATCCTCCTCAGGCACACAAACATGCCTTCACATTCTTCCTGTCCGAACTCTTTCGCTCCCTCTTCCCTTTCAGTCACCGACACAAAAGGCACGAAAACAAACGATGAACAAAAAGTTAACAATTCGGCTGAATGCAATTCAGGTAGATCCTGACCCAAAAAAAAGAGAAAAGGGAAGGGAGGAAAAAGAAGATGAAAGAGATCTGTGCTTTGCAAGAGGACACCACGCGGAATGTTTTTTGTCCTTGTGGAAGACAACTGAAAGTGAAGAGCAGCTTGCATGAAAGAATCCATGCCACATCATTTTTCCTGAGGCAAAGAGAAGATCTCTGTTAGTTATTTTTCCTATTAGTTTGCACCTCTACCTATAAAGGGACTTCCACACTGTAAGGAATTATTTTGTAAAATTAGATTCCTGTTCCAGCACCTTTTGATCACAAACAAAAAGCAGAAAAGAGTCTGCAAAATTGCACATTGCCACGGATTACGTCAAAGTAAAGAAAAAATGGCACTATTTTTTTATGAACAATGAACGTGTAGCTTAAAAAAATGTCATGGTGCTAGCTTTGGGAATGGACTCAAAGAAGAGGTTGAAAAGCACGTTTTTTTTCTTTGAATTAATATTAAAACTTTCCGTTTTAAGGAAAGTGTGACTTTTGAAAAAAGGAAGATAAAGGATATGGTGGAGCGCTTAGCAGTGGCAATGTCAAGGGGGAAGTGTCACTGAGAGGAGACATGGGCTGCGTCGGCATCGAGGCTCACAGCTGAGTGTGATACCAGCTGCTCGTCAATAGCGACAAAGGGGGACCGGAGACCCAGTGCCTGTTCTTTCTGTCCCTGCCAGACACGGGGAGCAGTGTGAGGACACATGTGGGACACAGTGGACTGCCTGGATTGAGACAGCACTACAGTTCTGGGACAGTGCTTCCTGGTTGCCATGGCTTTTCAGACTGCTCTGACAAGAAGTAACGTGGCATTGGACAAAGACTCAGTGGGATAATGATTCTATTTTATTTTGTCTTATTTTCTGTTTTGTTTTCATATCAATGTTTTAATGAAAAAAAGGAAAATCCTTTAGGTTTCTGGTACCGTAACATTCCTGTTTTTTCCAAGTTAGGCTTTTACTTGGGTTTCCGTGGTTATTGTTATGATGTTATTTTACAGTTCTAATAAAAGGCACGACATTTTAATTCAAAGGGAAAAAAACAGCAATAATTTCAACTAACATTTTATTTTTATTGTATATCAGTAGTATTCTGCTTTTGCCTGAAAACAAATACTTGAATATATATACACATTTATATATATATATATATATATATATATATATATATATACATATGTACATATACATATAGATATCTATATGTATATACGGTATACATATATATATATATCGTATATACATATAGATATCTATATGTATATGTACATATGTATATATATCTATAGATAAATATCTATACATAATTAGTTTCCAGGGAGGTTGTGTTATTTTCCTTTAGTCTGAGCTGTATCTTGCGTAATGAGCCGCCAAGCTTTTTTGTTTGTTTGTTGAAATACAAATAAGGGCACTGTATAAAGGCATTATTTATTTTGTTATAAAATATATTTGAGAAATTGGTCCAAATAATATACGTAGCACTGATGCTCAAATGACGCATTTATTTTGTATGATCTCTGTTTTCCGATTGGAGTTGTAAGGCTTTTTCGTAGATGCTTTGTACCAAAAATAATGTCTTTTTTTCCTTTTTTGTTTGCCTTAGTTACTTTAAATTAATATTTTAACAGCAGCATAGCCTGGATTGCTTAGGCATGTTATGTCACAGAAATAGGAACATACTCTGAATACGTTGGTCTGCATGGATTTCCAGAAGCCTGTCAGGGGTTTCTGCAAAAAAGATAGCATTAATGAGTGACTTTATTATTGGAAAAATAACTGTTCAACATTGATTGTACTCAAACCCATTATGTTTTGAAGCCACTTTAGTATTGATGGCAGGGGAATGATCAGTCTTTCATTAAATCATGTGTTTGTAATTGTGCATGGTGTCCGATATGATCTCCTAAGGAACATCTTGCCTGGATGTGTCAGTGCCACTGATGTTGTTGCTTGTTAGTTTGGGTCATGAGGTCATAAATGTGCAGTCAGTTGTAAATTTAAGGGTTTTGCTTACACTTGACTTACACAAGTCCTTGTGTCGAGGCCTTAATTTACAGATAACAGTGTTCCTATGATGCTATCAAACATCAAACGTCATCTAATGATTGTTGGGAGGGAGCGAATCGTCGCTCCGCACCTCACTGTCGGCCCGTCGGTCCTGTCTTCTCCGTTTGTAAAAGACAATGTCCCTGATCGTGTGCATCAACAGTCTGCGTCTGTACTTGCGTGGCGAGGGCGGGGGGGGCGTTGTTGCCTGCCATTCAGCCCTCAACAATCTTCCAGTCACCCCTCCATTATGCATTTGGTGAAGGGCTATCACGCTGAACCATTTCTGAAGCACTCAGGAATCACAGCAATCTGTGCTCTCCGAGGGAGAAGCCCAGCAGTTGCCGAGTGTCAGTGATAATCTCGTTGTGGAAGGGCAGCCGAGATTAAAACCCACACCTGTCCACAATGACACAGCCCTCTGTGACAGACCACTGAAGCCCACGTCAGAAACAAGGTCCGTCTGTGCCACTTTATAGTTCCCCCCCTTTATTGTGTCATGCATCACCCATGAAATAGAGAGAGACCTAATGGATACTCGCCCCGTTGTGGTGGAGTCAAGCCAATACTTTATATCTTCTTTCTTTCACAGAGATCTCAATAATCAAAGCTGCGTCCTTCCTATAATTATATTCTACTTCAGTTGTGCAACAAAGCAGGCAGTGCAATTATTATTATTAGTATTATTGATAATATTATTATATTATCTATTTTATTCTATATTTTCCTGCTAGGACTGCATTCATTCACTATTGTAATGTTCAAACAGGCTACTTTTGTGTTCTTATGAATGGCGGGAAAGACAACCACTTCTTTTCGCTGAATATGAAAAGATATCTTGCCGAGCGATGGCAATTTCTTCAGTGTCAGTAGCTCACTCAGCCTGTGTGTATTTTATTGATTTAACCTCTGCACGCTAGAACGTCCGAAATGCACAATTCATGTACTTTCATTTTTAATATCAATAAAAAAAAACATTTTATCAAACATAAAATGTCTGAAAGACCTACTGCTTTGTTCCGTGTGCTGTCTCAGGGGTTGGGCTCGAGAGCCATTTTTGAACTCTTTATACCAATTAAACCGTATGTACCACGTCAATGATTTATTACTTCTTAGGGCCTTGCGGCTGCTTTTAGCACCCTCTCTCTTCCTCTCTCTTTCCTCTCTCCATTTCTAAAGCCCTGGTCTCTCCGTGTGTGTGTGTGTGTGTGTGTGCGCGTGTGTGTGTCTCCTCTTCCGGATACGGCAAAAAGTGTGCCAAAGTGGAATTCAGCACTCGCAGAGTGCCAAGCGGGCCGGCCACGACTCTTCAATCCTTGCGCCGCATGCCGCATGACCTGTGTTCACGGCCTCCGACACACCCATTCGCACACCCATCCCTCCGTCTTCCAGCGGCTTGCCGACTGCTGGAGCAAGCTCCACCTCGGCGGCTAAGTTTAGCAACCGACATGTCTCAAATTATCACGTGCATATTCTGAAAATGGCAAAAACCTTTTATTGTTGACATGCATGCGCATAGCCGGCCGAGGAATGTCTGTTGCCGGCCAGATTTTACAGCACAGTATCATTGCTCCAGGAATGGAACAGCTTTGGGAACTTGAAATGATTTTGGTGCAGCAGACTCGTTACTGTAGTTCTATTTTACGCTTTAGGTTGTCCTCAAAGAGTTTGAACGTTACATGAACAAGGACGTGCTGTACTACGTATATTACAGATCTGCCCTGCGGCGATGGGATGCACGTGTGGGAAAGTTGAGAAGCCGGTTGACTATCATAGATAAGGAACATTGGGTTGTGGGTGTTATGGCTATAAACGGCACAATAAAATCACCTTTGCCTGTCTCATAAAACCGTATTGCCCTACTGAGGGGAAATCACTCACTACCACCGCTGCTCCAAAACCTTATGGATAAATGTGTTATTAGTGCAGGTGTTCTTTAAAGAAATGTCGCTCGAAAACACTCTGCCTGACGTTTACAAACCTACAGGCAGGTGTGTGTGTGTGTTCTCCAGCCGCCGCTGAGGGACTTAGCCTGTTCCCTTCCAGTGTTTATACAGAGTAAGACTCTCTAGAGCTTGGTAATGAGATCAGGAACTCTCTGGTCCTCGGGGCTCGTCACGTGACCTCTGTGCCTAACGCAGGAGCTTCTGGCACAACATCACCAAAACAAAACAGGGGCGACACCAAAATACTATCTGTTTACACGATCGTTGGGTTTGATTGTTAGAGCTCGTCAACTTCTTTAAAACGTGATACCACAGCGGTATGACATATATAGTCTTACAATAATTAAGAGATCAATCTAGCCAGACAACCACATGTGTTGATTGGATTTCTGCGTTTAATGGCTTAATGGTCTTCTTGTCAACCTTTTTTTGTCAAAAAAAACACATCGGCATCTAAATTCGGAAACCTAGACGTGAACTCACTATAACATTATCCTAACAATAGAAAACAATAGAAAAAGCCTGGATGGGCCACCTCAACCTAAACTGGTGGAGTCAAATAAACCATAAACCATAATCCACGCATCCACCCCCGTTAGACGGCCTCCTGAGCTGCGGAGCGGAGTGTAGATGTGGGTGGCACAACTCTCCCAGGCCTGACATTGGAAACTGCCAAGGAGCACACTAGAGTTAGTTGTGGTTGGCCGGATGCACGGGATGCATGTAAGGCCAGGCCAACTATTGAGGCACAGGGTTTGGCAAGCCCAGACCATCACAGCCCCAGCGTGGCCACACAGGCCAATTAAGACAGGCCTCCCCCAATCCTTTCTTCTCCTCCCCTCCTCTGTGTCTCTCTCATCTCTCTCTCTCTCTCTCTCTCTCTCTCTTTATCTCTCACTTTCTCTCCTGCGCTCCCTCTCTCTTTCGACCGATCCTCACAAAGCGTGCTCGAACATTCCTCCTTTTCCCACTTTTGCCTCTCTAATTGCAGTGGACTGAAAAGGGGGGGATGAGAGAGGGGAGTGAGATTGAGAGAAAGCGACAGAGACAGAGAGAGGGAATCTGAGGGAAAGGGGGTCATACCACATAACCTCCGTGGCCAGGACAAACTGTACGGGGCCCCTGGAATGGTCAAAACCCCTGTGTGCACTGTGTGCGCGCTCGACCAGCCAGCGCTCTCTCTCTCATTAATTGCATAAAAAACTGAACTATTTGGCTAATTTCATAATATAAGCTGTAATGCAATCTACATCCTTGCATTGGCTCTGAGGTGCTTACAGCAAAGCCTGAGCATAAAGAGGTGATTGTGTTTCTTCAACGCCCCACAAAAACTATCTAATTGTTAATTCCTAATCAACCAGGAGCTGTGAGGAGGATTTCCAATTATATAACCATAGGTTCTGACACATTAACAATGAAGGGGAAGTTTTAGATGATTTTGCACAAGAGGAGCAGAGGGATCAAATCTGTTTGTTTGTCCTGTTGTTACATGGCTTAACTATTTGTCTCGGTTTTTAATGTGTACAAAAAAAAGTGACTTCAAAGAGCACGAGGATGAGACAAGAACAAACAATCCGGCCACAGAAAAACGACTGCACGGTGTCAGTGTTTGTCTTTGGGCTTCATTTGATTTACTTTTGAGAAGCTCGAGAAGGACTTACGCCACCCACTCACGCACTAAACACAGATCGCGGTGGTTTGCATATTTGTAAAGTTTTGCAATTTTGAGGCTTTTGGTGCCTTTGTCACACGGCACTGAAAGGTCAGTGCAACACATTCATAGCGATGTGGATGCAACAAGATGCGTGTGGTAGACTGTACTCTGGAGGGCCAGAACATGGGTAATGAAGTGGTTAAACCATAGAAAATCATAACAAAGGGTTTCCAGTGTGGTGGGGGGGGTGGGGGGGGGGCACGGACCGCCTGGGTTATACTTATTCACAAGAGTCCAACACTACACTCTATGGCAACTCAGTTCAAAACTGTTCATGTTTTCCTCCAAAAGACAATTTCAAATATCAGCCCACAGTAGATT